GTTATAGGAAGAAAAAAAAAAAAGCCGGCAATTGCATTTAAAAATTGGCACCGACATACACTTCGTATTAATAAAAAAATGTATAAACCGAGGCATTATTTTCAATGGATTATCATTCGTAAACCGAAAATTACGTTAACCGAGGCATTTGTAAACTGAGGTATTACTGTTTTTCGCCTTACTCCAATCTCCTCTAGATTAGCGGTTCCCAATCTCCCTCTTGTTGGGCCGCATGCGATTCCTGAACCAAAACCTCTCCTTGCTGTCAGCACGGTTCTGGAGGTGCATACTTGCTCTCACGGTGTCCTGACAATCGGAGCTCGGTGTCTACTGTCAGGAGGTGCCAGTGTGCCCTTTCCACCTGTAGTCACGACCAGAGCGATGGCACAAAATCCAGCAGGAAGACAGGGAGGGGGGGGAGTGAGCTGCATTATCCGTGAGTGGAGGAGACCTACACTGATAACACACAGAACTTCATGGCTATAAGATTCTACAGTGCCAACATACACCGGGATGTAGTCACGTGCCAGAGATGGAGATATGAGCAGGATGTGCCTGGGACATCCGGCTCCAAGAGTACCACTAATCTCAATATATTACTATACAGAATACAGACCACAGAGAGGACCTGTCATTACTACACTGTATACAGCATTAGTGTCACTGACTGCAATAACTGGGGTCAGTAAATGCAAAAACCCCCAGCATTGGTGTCGCTGACTGCAATAATAACCTCCAGCATTGGTGTCGCTGACTGCAATAACAACCCCCAGCATTGGTGTCGCTGACTGCAATAACAACCCCCAGCATTGGTGTCGCTGACTGCAATAACAACCCCCAGCATTGGTGTCGCTGACTGCAATAACTGGGGTTAGTAAATGCAAAAAACCCCAGCATTGGTGTCACTGATTTCAATAATAACCCTCAGAATTGGCGTCGCTGACTGCAATAACCACCAGCATTGGCGTCGCTAACTGCAATAGCCCCCAGCACTGGCGTCGCTGACTGCAATAATAACCCCCAGCATCAGCGTCGCTGACGGCAATAATAACCCCCCAGCATCGGCGTCACTGACTGCAATAATAGCCCCCAGTACTGGCGTCGCTGACTGCAATAATAGCCCCCAGCACTGGCGTCGCTGACTGCAATAATACCCCCCAGCATCGGCGTTGCTGACTGCAATAATAACCCCCCAGCATCGGTGTTGCTGACTGCAATAATAAACCTCAGCATCGGTGTCGCTGACTGCAATAATAAACCTCAGCATGGTTGGACTGCAATAATAACCCCCAGCATTGGTGTAGCTGACTGCAATAATAACCCCCAGCATCAGCGTCGCTGACTGCAAAAATAACCCTCAGCATAGGCGTTGCTGACAGCAATAAATAGCCCCCAGCACTGGCGTCGCTGACTGCGATAATAACCCCCAGCATCGGCGTCGCTGACTGCAATAATAACCCCCAGCATCGGCGTCGCTGACTGCAATAATAACCCCCAGCATCTGCGTCGCTGACTGACTGCGTCGCTGACTGCAATAATAACCCCCAGCATCTGCGTCGCTGACTGCAATAATAAACCCCAGCATCGGCGTCACTGACTGCAATAATAACCTCAGCATTGGTGTCACGAGCATAATAACCCCGAGCATTGGTGTCGCTGGCCACAATAATAACCCCCCGCATTGGTTTCACTGACAGCAATAATAACCCTCAGCATTGGTGTCACTGACAACAATAATAGCCCCCAGCATTGTGGCAAGTACCAATTAACCCCCACATCCCCGCTTCTTCCACCTACCTACATTAATGGTCACTGGCAATGAAATATAATGCCTCCACCCCTGCTTTGGCGCCTGTGATAGGTAAGTACCAGAATGAAGAGGCCCTGTCATTACTATATTGTATACAGAATGAAGAGGCCCTGTCATTACTATACTGTCTACAGAATGAAGAGGCCCTGTCATTACTATATTGTATACAGAATGAAGAGGCCCTGTCATTACTATACTGTATACAGAATGAAGAGGCCCTGTCATTACTATATTGTATACAGAATGAAGAGGCCCTGTCATTACTATACTGTATACAGAATGAAGAGGCCCTGTCATTACTATACTGTATACAGAATGAAGAGGCCCTGTCATTACTATACTGTATACAGAATTGCCCTGTCATACAGTATACAGAATGAAGAGGCCCTGTCATTACTATATTGTATACAGAATGAAGAGGCCCTGTCATTACTATATTGTATACAGAATGAAGAGGCCCTGTCATTATAAAGAAATAACCAGATCAATCGTAATTATCAAACAGATCACAAAGAATAAAGAGGACCTACCACACTACTTTCATATACGATAAACATGATGAAGAGGACCTGTCATTATTATCACTGACCATGCAAAGGATAAAACGGATCTGTCACACAGACGATGGGAATGATCTGTCACATCGATAATACAAAGCACACAAAAGAAAAGCAAATCTGTAATATAAATGTGAATGGGCTATAACATTTTTTTGCGCCGTGCCGCAAATGCACACTGGAGAGGTTGTAGTACAATAACCCCACCATTGGTGTCAGTGGATGCAATAATAATCCCCAACTCTGGCATCCGCTAGTGTGACAATAGCCTCAAGCACTGTTACTGTAGGTTCATACATAGGAGATGTGAACCCTGCGCGTTTCCTGCACCGTATTGCAACTGCACTCTGTTTTGCGATCTGCTGCAGGTGTCAATAGAAAGTTAATGACACCCCAGACGCAGGTTGCGAACGCAGTGCGTTTGACTGCACCGGATTGCATGGTACAAAACAATCATGCAATCTGGTTGCCGTGTGGCTAAAAAAAAAAAAAAAAAAGTTCCTGCAAGTTTTTGGTGCTATGCGCTGCAGTTTGAGCCCAGTTCAGATAAATGGGTTCAGATGGCAGCACACTGAATCGTATGTGAATTACACGGGAATGTGGTGCAGTTTGTGTGTGATTCACATGTGAGCTGTAGTGTGAACAGAGGCTTATTGGTACCAGTAACCTACCCGCCCCTCCTTTTCCCCACATAGGGGGTCACTGGCAGAGAAATTCACCATGTTGGGCACCAAGAACACAAAGTGGACCTGTTATACAATTGTTACCATGGAGATCACATAGCATGAAGAGGACCATTCATGTTTACATTGTATACAGGATGAGGACGGCCTGCCCTCGTTACCCGGGACGACGAGGGCGGCCTGCCCTCGTTACCCGGGACGACGAGGCGGCCTGCCCTCGTTACCCGGGACGACGAGGCGGCCTGCCCTTGTTACCCGGGACGAAGAGGGCGGCCTGCCCTCGTTACCCGGGACGAAGAGGGCGGCCTGCCCTCGTTACCCGGGACGACGAGGGCGGCCTGCCCTCGTTACCCGGGACGAAGAGGGCGGCCTGCCCTCGTTACCCGGGACGAAGAGGGCGGCCTGCCCTCGTTACCCGGGACGACGAGGGCGGCCTGCCCTCGTTACCCGGGACGAAGAGGGCGGCCTGCCCTCGTTACCCGGGACGAAGAGGACGGCCTGCCCTCGTTACCCGGGACGAAGAGGGCGGCCTGCCCTCGTTACCCGGGACGAAGAGGGCGGCCTGCCCTCGTTACCCGGGACGAAGAGGGCGGCCTGCCCTGTTACCCGGGACGAAGAGGACGGCCTGCCCTCGTTACCCGGGACGAAGAGGACGGCCTGCCCTCGTTACCCGGGACGAAGAGGACGGCCTGCCCTCGTTACCCGGGACGAAGAGGACGGCCTGCCCTCGTTACCCGGGACGAAGAGGACGGCCTGCCCTCGTTACCCGGGACGAAGAGGACGGCCTGCCCTGTTACACGGGACGAAGAGGACGGCCTGCCCTCGTTACACGGGATGAAGAGGACCTGCCATTGTTACAGGGGATGATGAGGACCTGCCATTGTTACAAGGGATGAAGAGGACCTGTCATTGTTACAGGGGATGAAGAGGACCGGTCATTGTTACAGGGGATGAAGAGGACCGGTCATTGTTACCCGGGACGACGAGGGCGGCCTGCCCTCGTTACACGGGGACGAAGAGGGCGGCCTGCCCTCGTTACCCGGGACGAAGAGGACGGCCTGCCATCGTTACCCGGGACGAAGAGGACGGCCTGCCCTCGTTACCCGGGACGAAGAGGACGGCCTGCCCTCGTTACCCGGGACGAAGAGGACGGCCTGCCCTCGTTACACGGGACGAAGAGGACGGCCTGCCCTCGTTACACGGGATGAAGAGGACCTGCCATTGTTACAGGGGATGATGAGGACCTGCCATTGTTACAAGGGATGAAGAGGACCGGTCATTGTTACAGGGGATGAAGAGGACCGGTCATTGTTACAGGGGATGAAGAGGACCGGTCATTGTTACAGGGCTTGAAGAGGACCGGTCATTGTTACAGGGGATGAAGAGGACCTGTCACTGTTACAGGGGATGAAGAGGACCTGTCACTGTTACAGGAGATGAAGAGGACCTGTCACTGTTACAGGGGATGAAGAGGACCTGTCACTGTTACACGGGATGAAGAGGACCTGTCATTGTTACACGGGATGAAGAGGACCTGTCATTGTTACAGGAGATGAAGAGGACCTGTCATTGTTACAGGAGATGAAGAGGACCTGTCATTGTTACAGGAGATGAAGAGGACCTGTCATTGTTACAGGAGATGAAGAGGACCTGTCATTGTTACAGGAGATGAAGAGGACCTGTCATTGTTACACGGGATGAAGAGGACCTGTCATTGTTACAGGGCATGAAGAGGACCTGTCTCTCACTGATCACCATGGAGATGACCCGGGATGGGGATGTCACATGATGCGGGATGAGGATGCTCTGTCACACACTGATATCACACAGAGGACGGCGATGACTTGGGAGGAGGATGGCGATGATCTCACACAGAACACGGAGGGGATGAAGCGGACCTGTCGCGCTCACTCTCCGATCACACGGAGGGGGTGGGGAGGTCTCACTCACCTCGGCTGTAGGCCCGGGACGCAGCGTGGCAGGCGGAGAGGAGGAGGGCGGCGCCCAGGGCCAATAGCTTGGCGTTCCTCACACTGAAGTGCTGGTTGATCTCCCGTTTGCCCAGGTTGTAGGCCAGGGCCGCCATCTTGGCTCCTCCATGACAGCAGCGTGCGATGAGACGGTCGGGCGCGGGGGGGCAGCACTGCAGAGGGGTGGAGGCGGGGCTGGAGGGCGGGGCGTTCTTGGAGGATGGAGAAGGGGGCGGAGTGATGGCCGGAGAGGCGGTGGTCGGAGGAACAGCAGCAGAGGGAGAAGGCGGGGCTGAGGAGGTGTCCTGCTCCCCAGGTAATAGAGGCTGTAGCTCCGCCCCCTGGCGTTTCTTCATGCCGTTGTCTCGCCCCCTGCTAGACTCCATGTCCGCTCAGTGCGGGACCTGGGCTCCGCCTACAACTCTCCGGGAGCAGCGAACACTGGACTCTGACCCCCCCTACTGACTGCTAAAGGAACTGCACCCTGCCTCTGCTCCACCTATAATAAACAGCGCCCTGCCTCTGCTCCACCTATAATAAACAGCGCCCTGCCTCTGCTCCACCTATAATAAACAGCGCCCTGCCTCTGCTCCACCTATAATAAACAGCGCCCTGCTTCTGCTCCACCTATAAAAAACAGTGCCCTGCCTCTGCTCCACCTATAATAAACAGTGCCCTGCCTCTGCTCCACCTATAATGAACAGCACTGCCTCTGCTCTAAACTGCTGCCTTCTCCACCTTAATAAACAGCGCCCTGCCTCTGCTCCACCTATAATAAACAGTGCCCTGCCTCTGCTCCACCTATAATAAACAGTGCCCTGCCCCTGCTCCACCTATAATAAACAGTGCCCTGCCCCTGTTCCACCTATAATAAACAGTGTCCTGCCTCTGCTCCACCTATAATGAACAGCGCCCTGCCTCTGCTCCATGAATAATAAACAGTGTCCTGCCCTGCTCCACCTATAATAAACAGTGCCCTGCCTCTGCTCCACCTATAATGAAAACAGTGCCCTGCCCCTGCTCCACCTATAATGAACAGCGCCCTGCCCCTGCTCCACCTATAATAAACAGTGCCCTGCCTCTGCTCCACCTATAAAGAACAACACTGCTTCTGTCCACCTCTGCTCCTGCTTTAATGAACAGTGTCCTGCCCTGCTCCACCTATAATAAACAGTGCCCTGTTTCTGCTCCACCTATAATGAACAGTGCTCCCTGCCTCTGCTCCACCTATAATGAACAGTGCCCTGCCTCTGCTCTACCTAAAACAAAAATCGCTATGGCTCTATTTGCAACAATGGGCACTGCCAACCAGTGAGCCTGCTCCACTTGTAATACATAACTGCCTCTGCTCAACCTAGAATAGCCATGTGACTCTGCTCCACCCAATAACAATAACAGCAGGACACCCTTTACATAGAATACAGCTCTACACTGCTCTACCGAAAATAGAAACTAACCCTGCTCCACCCAGAATTGATATCCCTGGGATCCTTCAGATAACACTTGGTGTTGCTTCTTCCCCCAAAATTATGGGATGTAACCCCTATCCACCCAGAACTGAGACCACTCGGAACCCTGACGATTTTAAAATAAAGTAGCTACTCCACCCAGAATAAATAGTACTGTGAGACCTGATCCAGCTAAAAATAAAAAGCACTGTGCCCCCAAAAAGCGCCACTGCTCCACTTAGAACAGCACTGTGCCCCTGCTCCACCTAGAACAGACAGCCCTGCACCACTGCTCCACTTAGAACAGCACTGTTCCCCCGCTCCACCTAGAACAGACAGCCCTGCGCCACTGCTCCACTTAGAACAGCACTGTGCCCCCGCTCCACCTAGAACAGACAGCCCTGCGCCACTGCTCCACTTAAAATGGAAAATTCTGTGGTGCCGCTGTCTTTGCAGCAAGTGATACTGTCAATCTGTGCCCCTGCACCCCTATTACACCCACACCGGCCGTGACACTGAGACTTCACTCTGCTCCACCCAAAAAGGGAAACAACTGACTTCGCAGTGGCACACTACTCAATAAAAATGATGCACGCTGGGGTCCGCCGGCTCCACCGTGAAATGTAACTCTGCAGTGTCATGCTACTCCACTCGCAACGCTGGAAACGAATTCACCCCAAAACAGAATCCTACAATCCGGCACTCAGACAACAGGCCTTAGTCACTTTTCCACCGCTCCACCCAGAATTGGTGTGTATCCGCGCTCCACCTGGGTGCCTGGTAGCTGCTTATGATGTCGGTGGTCAGAGAGGACCTGTCACTGCACAAAGTTCCACATGGAAGGAATGAGAACGCCAGCATCCAATCAGAGCCGTGCAACCAGATCTCCTGGGAAGGTATACAGTGACCCCACGGTGCCAATCACAGGGGATGGGGGACCTGCCACCTCCACCCACGTCTGGAATATTTCACCTCCGTCCAGATTTCAAATTGTTAATTGAAGAAGTTTCCGTCCTGCGAATAATGAGCGCAGCGAAGGAAGTGAGACAATCCTGGCTTCCTTCTGCGCTCCGATCAGACTACTTTATATTTTTAGTGACCAGAAAGGGCGGAGACACAAGTGGCTGGGTGAGCTCAGTCCAGTAATTCCAGTTACTGAATTGTTGTCACCGCACAATGCACCCGTCTATCTCCAGGTGACCCCGGCGTTTGTGAGCATTCATTATATTACAGACATTTCCTGGTTTACATGGAGCAGTGCGGGGAGGAGACTCTTATCTGTTGTTCTACAGTTATCAGACTCCAAACTCCACTGTGAATGGGCGGAGGGCCAACAACTGATACAGTGTATCTAAACATTTCCAGCAGGAGAAGGAAGGAGGTCCTGATCCCTCTATATAGATCTTTATATCACTAGAGGGGTCACCAGCAGGAGGAAGGAGGTCCTGATCCCTCTATATAAATCTTTATATCACTTTATTATCACTAGAGAGGGCTCACCGGCAGGAGGAAGGAGGTCCTGATCCCCTCCCTCCTAGATTGTAAGCTCGAAAGAGCAGGGCCCTCAATCCCCTCATGTTTTGCATTGTATTGGTATTGTTCATGTCTGTCCCCCTCTTGTAATGTACAGCGCTGAGCAAACTATTGGCGCTTTATAAATACTGTATAATAATAATAATAATATATAGGTCTTTATATCACTAGAGGGATCACTATGCAGGAGGAAGGAGGTCCTGATTCCTCTATATATATCTTGATTATCACTAGAGGGGTCACCTGCAGGAGGAAGGAGGTCCTGATTCCTCTATATAGATCTTTATATCACTAGAGGGGTCACCAGCAGGAGGAAGGAGGTCCTGATTCCTCTATATAGATCTTTATATCATCAGAGGGGACACCAGCAGGTGGAAGGAGGTCCTGATTCCTCTATATAGGTCTTTATATCACTAGAGGGATCACCCAGGAGGAGGAAGGAGGTCCTGATCCCTCTATATAGATCTTTATTAACACTAGAGGGGTCACCAGCAGGAGGAAGGAGGTCCCGATTCCTCTATATAGGTCTTTATATCACTAGAGGGGTCACCAGGCAGGAGGAAGGAGGTCCTGATTCCTCTATATAGATCTATCACTATCACTAGCAGGAGGAAGGAGGTCCCGATCCCTCTATATAGATCTTTATATCACTAGAGGGGTCACCAGCAGGAGGAAGGAGGTCCTGATCCCTCTATATAGATCTTTATGTCACTAGAGGGGACACCGGCAGGAGGAAGGAGGTCCCGATCCCTCTATATAGATCTTTATGTCACTAGAGGGGTCACCGGCAGGAAGAAGGAGGTCCCGATCCCTCTATATAGATCTTTATATCACTAAAGGGGTCACCAGCAGGAAGATGGAAGGAGGTCCTGATCCCTCTATATAGATCTTTATATCACCAGAGGGGTCACCAGCAGGAGGAAGGAGGTCCCGATTTTCCTATATAGATCTTTTATTATCACTAGAGGGGTCACAAGCAGGAGAAAGGAGGTGTCTGATCCCTCTATATAGATCTTTATTAACACTAGAGGGGTCACCAGGCAGGAGGAAGGAGGTCCCTGATTCCTTTATATAGATCTTTATATCACCAGAGGGCTCACCAGCAGGAGGAAGGAGGTCCTGATTCCCCTATATAGATCTTGATATCACTAGAGGGGTCACCAGCAGGAGGAAGGAGGTCCTGATTCCTCTATATAGGTCTTTATATCACTAGAGGGATCACTATCAGGAGGAAGGAGGTCCTGATTCCTCCATATATATCTTGATTATCACTAGAGGGGTCACCTGCAGGAGGATGGAGATCCTGATTCCTCTGTATAGATCTTTATATCACCAGAGGGATCATCAGCAGGAAGAAGGAGGTCCTGATTCCTCTATATAGATCTTTATATCACTAGAGGGATCACCAGCAGGAGGAAGGAGGTCCTGATTCCTCTATATAAGATCTTTATATCACCAGAAGGGTCACCAGCAGGAGAAAGGTGGTCCTTATTCTCCTATCAATAGTAAAAATCTTTATTATCATTAGAGGGGTCAGTCATCAACAGGAGGAAGGAGGTCCTGTTTCTTCTATATAGATCTTTATTATCACTAGATGGGTCACCAGCAGGAGGAAGGAGGACGGATTTATTGTTGTCATTGATGGGAAAATGAATTCCAGAGTTTATATCAAGACATTTTGCAGGAAAACGTACAACCATCTGTCCGCCAACTGAAGCTCCGCAGAGGATGGGTGATGCAACAGGACAATGACCCAAAGCATACAAGTAATTCAACAAAACAATGGCTGCAACAGCACAGAATACGCCTTCTGGAGTGGCCCAGTCAGAGTCCTGACCTCAACCCGATTGAAATGCTGTGGCATGACCTTAAGAGAGCGATTCACACCAGACATCCCAAGAATATTGCTACACTGAAACAGTTTTGTGAAGAGGAGTGGTCCAAAATGACTCCAGATCGTTGTGCAGGTCTGATCTGCAACTACAGGAAACATTTTTTTGGAATGAGGTTATTGCTGCCAAAGGAGGGTCAACCAGTTTATTAAGTCCAAAGGTGCACATATATTTTTCCTCCTTGCACTGTGAATGTTTAAATATTATGTGCAATTAAACCATGGCAACATCTGAAGTTTGTGTAGTATTATGTTCAGCAGACTGTGTTCTTCTATTGTTGTGACTTAGATGACGTTCAAAACACATTTTTATGCCCAATTCATGCAAAACTCCACCTAATCCCATTTTTGGGGGTTCAAATACTTTTTCTTGCGAAAAAACTGTACATATATTTTTTAAAGGCAGCTGCAGCTAGACGGATTCATATGGTATACAGATGAGATAAATATAAACTGGTTACCTTAAAAAATATATGAAAGAAAAAACACAAATTGGTTTCCTTCAGATCTATAGTACAGCGGTAAGGTACAGGAACTCAGGATCTCAGGTCCCATAACCACTTTTGCAATGACCTTGATTTTTAGTTACAAACTTTCACAGGAAAGGTTGGGATGTGGTGGATTGTAGAGCCTGGATGGGGCTACCAAGATCCCAAATCGGCAAGCTGTTAGTCCAGCAGCGACTGGACAGGTAAATGGCACTGAACCAGAGGACAGTCAGGGAATAGCCGGTAAATGATCATGGGACAAATCCAACTGGACATACAGTAGATGTTGCCAAAGAGTGAAGCTGAGGCTTAGTAGAAAGTATGGTCAAAGGTCAATGGCAGGAGTAACGAAGGCCAATTTCCAAACCCGAGCGGGGAGCGGGAGCGGGGAGCGGGAAACGAGACGGTTTGGACAGAGCTCCAACAATGCCAAGACAAATGGGAGGGTACAAAGTACAATCTGAGGACGCTGACTGAACCAGCTTTACCTAACTTTAAAACAAAGTTAGATTCTATGTGGGACACAACATGGTTTTCGCTCACCACTTCAGCACGTCTCATAAACAGTGGCAGTTTCTAGGTCATCTAATCATTTACTGGGAGCTTTCCTAGATGTTACATATAGAAAGGTTCATAGTCTCGGCTTTTATGGTTTGCATAATATTTTATGGCAGTGCAAATAGCTGGGGAGTTTTACTGCCGCAATGGAGTCATTTTTAACTTGCTTCAGGATTTTTGGAGTGCAGTGCAGTGTACAGAGAAGGGTAGTACAGTACCAGGGGCGGATTGACCATTCGAGCACTCAGGCACTGCCCGAGGGCCCGGGGTCAGTAGGGGGCCCCATGAGATGCCCCTGGTATACCTTTCATTGGCTTTTTCATAGTTTTTTTTTTGGGTGTGGGAGAGGACACAGGGGCCCCATGATCCCCTATTGCCCGGGGGCCCCATGAGTTGTCAGTCCGCCCCTTTACAGTACAGAGAAGGGCAATACAGTACAGAGAAGGGTATTAAAGTACAGAGAAGGGCAGTATAGTACAGAGGCTAGTATATCAGTGGAGTGGAGTAGTGTAGTGTGCAGGGTGGAGCCATAGATTGTACACACTGGAGAAGTATTTTGCACACACTGGAGTAGTATACTGTAGTGCGCAGGGCGGAGCAGTATATTGCACACAGTGGAGTAGTATAGTGTACAGGATGGAGCAGTATATTGCACACAGTGGAGTAGTATAGTGTACAGGATGGAGCAGTATATTGCACACAGTGGAGTAGTATAGTGTACAGGATGGAGCAGTATATTGCACACAGTGGAGTAGTATAGTGTACAGGATGGAGCAGTATATTGCACACAGTGGAGTAGTATTATTGCACACAGTGGAATAGTATAGTGTACAGGATGGAGCAGTATATTGCACACAGTGGAGTAGTATAGTGTACAGGATGGGAGCAGAATATTTCACACAGTGGAGTAGTATAGTGTACAGGATGGAGCAGTATATTGCACACAGTGGAGTAGTATAGTGTACAGGATGGAGCAGTATATTGCACACAGTGGAGTAGTATAGTGTACAGGATGGAGCGGTATATTGCACACAGTGGAGTAGTATAGTGTACAGGATGGAGCGGTATATTGCACACAGTGGAGTAGTATAGTGTACAGGATGGAGCAGTATATGGCACACAGTGGAACAGTATAGTGTACAGGATGGAGCAGAATATTGCACACAGTGGAACAGTATAGTGTACAGGATGGAGCAGTATATTGCACACAGTGGAACAGTATAGTGTACAGGATGGAGCAGTATATTGCAAACAGTGGAACAGTATAGTGTACAGGATGGAACAGTATATTGCACACAGTGGAGTAGTATAGTGTACAGGATGGAGCAGTATATTGCACACAGTGGAGTAGTATAGTGTACAGGATGGAGCAGTATATTGCACACAGTGGAGTAGTATAGTGTACAGGATGGAGCAGTATATTGCACACAGTGGAGTAGTATTATTGCACACAGTGGAATAGTATAGTGTACAGGATGGAGCAGTATATTGCACACAGTGGAGTAGTATAGTGTACAGGATGGAGCAGAATATTTCACACAGTGGAGTAGTATAGTGTACAGGATGGAGCAGTATATTGCACACAGTGGAGTAGTATAGTGTACAGGATGGAGCAGTATATTGCACACAGTGGAGTAGTATAGTGTACAGGATGGAGCGGTAATATTGCCACACAGTGGAGTAGTATAGTGTACAGGATGGGAGGGTATATTGCACACAGTAGGAGTAGTATAGTGTACAGGATGGAGCAGTATATTGCACACAGTGGAACAGTATAGTGTACAGGATGGAGCAGAATATTGCACACAGTGGAACAGTATAGTGTACAGGATGGAGCAGTATATTGCACACAGTGGAACAGTATAGTGTACAGGATGGAGCAGTATATTGCAAACAGTGGAACAGTATAGTGTACAGGATGGAAACAGTATATTGCACACAGTGGAGTAGTATAGTGTACAGGATGGAGCAGTATATTGCACACAGTGGAGTAGTAGTATAGTGTACAGGATGGAGCAGTATATTGCACACAGTGGAACAGTATAGTGTACAGGATAGAGCAGTATATTGCACACAGTGGAGTAGTATAGTGTACAGGATGGAGCAGTATATTGCACACAGTGGAATAGTATAGTGTACACAGGATGGAGCAGTATATTGTACACAGTGGAGTAGTATAGTATACAGGATGGAGCAGTATATTGCACACAGTGGAACAGTATATTGTACAGGATAGAGCAGTATATTGCACACAGTGGAACAGTATAGTGTACAGGATGGAGCGGTATATTGCACACAGTGGAACAGTATAGTGTACAGGATGGAGCGGTATATATTGCACACAGTGGAGTAGTATAGTGTACAGGATGGAGCGGTATATTGCACACAGTGGAGTAGTATAGTGTACAGGATGGAGCGGTATATTGCACACAGTGGAGTAGTATAGTGTACAGGATGGAGCAGAATATTGCACACAGTGGAACAGTATAGTGTACAGGATGGAGCAGAATATTGCACACAGTGGAACAGTATAGTGTACAGGATGGAGCAGTATATTGCACACAGTGGAACAGTATAGTGTACAGGATGGAACAGTATATTGCAAACAGTGGAGTAGTATAGTGTACAGGATGGAGCAGTATATTGCACACAGTGGAGTAGTATAGTGTACAGGATGGAACAGTATATTGCAAACAGTGGAGTAGTATAGTGTACAGGATGGAGCAGTATATTGCACACAGTGCAGCAGTAGTATAGTGTACAGGCTGGAGCAGTATATTGCACACAGTGGAGTAGTATAGTGTACAGGATGGAGCGGTATATTGCACACAGTGGAACAGTATAGTGTACAGGATGGAGCGGTATATTGCACACAGTGGAACAGTATAGTGTACAGGATGGAGCGGTATATTGCACACACCAGAATAGTATAGTGTGCAGGGTGGAGCACACAGAGTACAGAATGATTGTAAAATGGGGGGTGGGGGTTGGGTCTGCTATGGTTTGGCAGGTTTGTAATCTTTTTGAAAAAAACTTGCTTCTCCTGCCCTCACATACATCACCACAGGGCATATGACCTGCACGGAGGAGCCACAGTGTGCAGCAGTGGAAACAGGTTTGGAGGAGATCTCCACTGTACAGATATCCCTCACCCTACACTCCTTGTCCACCCGCACAATCTATACTTCCCTTGTGTAACCCAGCTACTATAGAGGAGGTTGGTAGACTGTTTCTAAAAGCCCACCTAACCACCTGGCCCCTGGACCCTGTTCCCTCGCAAATACTACAGTCATCCTCTGGCTCTCTCCTTCACTCTTTAACTCATATCTTCAATCTCTCCCTTTCTGTTGGCATCAGGCATGGATGGATGGAGATATGGAGGGATGGATTGAGATGGATGGATGGATGGATTGGCATCTTCCTAAACTCTAAAAACATGCACTAGTCACCCCAATACTTAAAAAGGCCTCACTGGACCCCACCAATCTTAGCAACCTAAGACTCATCTCCTTACTCCCTTTTGCCATCAAACTCCTTGAACGTTTAGTCTACAACCGGCTGAGCTGCCACCTTATTGAAAATAACCTTCTCCATCCCCTTCAGTCTGGATTTCACCCACAACATTCCACAGAAACTACTCTCCTAACACTCACAAACGACTTACAAACACTATTCCGTACTCTTACACTTGGACCTCTCTGCTGCCTTTGACACAGTTCACCACCCCCTCCTCCTCAAAAAACTCTATTTACTTGGCCATCGTGACTGTACTCTTCGTTGGTTCGAATCTTACCTATCTCACCGCACCTTCAGTGTCACTTACAACCAGGGGCGGACTGACAACTCATGGGGCCCCCGGGCAATAGGGGATCATGGGGCCCCTGTGTCCTTGCCCAAACTCAAAAAAGTCTATGAAAAAGGTACCAGGGGCATCTCATGGGGCCCCCTACTGACCCCGGGCCCTCGGGCAGTGCCCGAGTTTCCAAATGGTCAGTCTGCCCCTGCTCTCCCCACGTACCTCTTTCCCTGATTTCTTGGTCAGGGATCAATAGCACCACTATCAACCCATCCCCGCATGCCAGGGTGCTGGGGGTAATCCTGGATTCTGAACTATACTTTCAGGTCTGCATCCAATCCCTGTCCAAATCATGCCGCCTCAACCTCCGCCATATCTCCAGAATACGCCCCTTTTTAACCAATGATACCACAAAGCTCCTAATTCACTTCCTCATAGTCTCTCGCCTTGACTACTGCAACTCCCTCCTCATTGGATGACCTTTACATAGGCTATCCCCCCTCCAGTCCATCATCAATACTGCTGCCAGGCTCATCCACCTTACCAACCATTCAGTGTTTGCTACACCTCTCTGCCAATCCCTCCACTGGTTCCTGCTCACAAAACAAATAAAATTCAAAAAATACTAACAACTTACAAAGCCATCCACAACTCTGCCCAGCTACATCACTAAACCTGGTCTCAAAATATCAACCAAACCGCTCTCTTTGATCCTCCCAAGACCTTCTGCTTTCTAGTTCCCATGTTACCTCCTCCCATGCTCGCCTGCAGGACTTCTCCCGAGCTTCCCCCATCCTATGGAACTTCCTACCCCAATCTGTCCGGCTATCTTCTAATCTATCCACCTTTAGACGATCCCTGAAAACCTTTTTTAAAGAAGCCTAACCTGCATCTAACTAGTAAACTGCCTTTTATTTCCTCCATCACCTCATCCCCCACAGCTATTACCTTTTGTATCACTCAACCCTTCCTCCTAGATTGTAAGCTCTAACTAGCCAGGCCCTCTGTTTCCTCTTCTACCAAATTGTATTGTAACTGTAATGTCTGCCTTCATTTTGTAAAGTGCTGAGCAAACTGTTGGCGCCATATAAATCCTGTATAATAATAATAACAATAAATACTAACTTTTGGGTCACCTGCTAATATCCAGCTTTTAGAGCAGTGGTTTCCATATTGCGGCCCAGGGGCCAGATGAGCCCTTTTGCTTGCCTTTATTCGGCCCTTGGGGCTCTATTCCACCAATTGACACCAATAATGGAACATTATTCCTGCCACTGATGCTAATAATGGGGACTATTCCTCCCACTGACACCAATGAGGGGCACTATACCTCCCACTGACACCAATGATGGGGCACTATACCTCCCACTGACACCAATGATGGGGCACTATACCTCCCACTGACACCAATGATGGGGCACTATTCCTCTCATTGATACCAATGATGGGGCACTATTCCTCCCACTGACACTAATGATGGGGTGCTATTCCTCCCACTGACACCAATAATGGAGCATAAAATAAATATAATAGGTGCAGCGCTACAAATATAACAAATAATATTGTTCATGAGTATGCCAATAAAGTGATAGTCAGTTTAGATCTAGGTGC